TGTGTGTGTGTGTGTGTGTGTGTGTGTGTGTGTGTGTGTGTGTGTGTGTGTGTGTGTGTGTGTGTGTGTGTGTGTGTGTGTGTGTGTGTAACACCAGTCTGAAGCTGTGAGTTATAATGAAACCTTTGTGCGGGGGCGTCGCTGACAATAATTATCAGCAAGTGTTTCCATTAAAGTAAAAACACTTACACTGCTGTCCCACTTTATAGAGCTGACCGTCAGCGGCCTTGTAACAGGAGCACACACACACACACACACACACACACACACACACACACACACAGCCTGGATATTGAATGATGTGTCTATAATGGAAGTGCTGCTGCAGGACAATAGGCTGGTTGTTTGCAGAACAGCTGAGTGAGTTGTTACTGAGAAACTGAGAGCAGTTTTTATTCCACGGTTTCCCCCGGGATGTAAAAACAGAGAAGCATCGCTGCAGTCTGTCTGAGTCCTGCTGCGAAGTCGAGATGTTCTATGAGATGTTCTATGAGATGTTCTATGTAGGGTCTGCAGCACATAGAATCTGCCGGACCTGCAGATGTTGAGACATTTACACGGTTAGTATCTGAGTGAAGCGCTACAAGCAGACCACAATGCAACAGTGTGCACAGAGCTTCTAAAAAATCTATGGGAGTTCAAACTCAGAATTTTAGCAATAAATCACTTTTGTGTTTTTTCCTCAACATTCAGACTTTTTTTGAAAATCTCTAAATATGTTTTGTTCCTCAAAATCTCAAAATGTTGACTTTTTTCTTACAATCTTAAAATGTCTACTTTATCTCTTTAACTTTATGGCTTTTCCCTCCAAAGCTCCAAACAGCCCATAACATGACGAGGCGTCTCTTTGTTGGACCCAGACGGTGTGAGGAGCTTGTTTGTGTGTCTGCAGCTCTTTGTGTTGCTCTGTTGTTGAAGAAACTGGGTTTGCTCTGGCTGTGAAGATGATGATGATGATGATGATGGTGATGATGATGATGGTGTGTGTTTAGAGGCTCCACAATAGTAAACTGCAGATGTCTCTCTCTGAATGTCCCCGCAGGTGAGAGGACCTTTAAGTGCGATCAGTGCGACGCCACCTTCAAGAGGAAGGACACGCTGAACGTGCACATCCAGGTGGTGCACGACGGACACAAGAAGTACAAGTGTGACCTGTGTGAGAAAGCCTTCGTCACGCCCTCCGTCCTCAAGAGCCACAAGAAGGTGAATACAAGAGTTTCTGAACAGCCTCAATCACACAGCCATTACCGCCAGCGCTCTGTCCCAGATTCACTTCAGAACAGACCTGCTGGGAAATAACCTGCAATCTCAAGTTGTTAGAAACGTCTGTGTTTATAAACGGAGGCCGACAGGTGCAGACACTCTACAAACAAACCCCCCCATCAGGAGAAGCAGCTTCAGAGAGGAGGCAGGTATAGAAACCCAAAGGTTCCTCATGAGGAAACATCTTCAGAACAACACGTGCAGCGTTTAGAGAACCATCAGCAACGTTTAGAGAACGTTCAGCAGCTTGAGGAGACATGCAGCGTTTAGAGAACATTCAGCAACGTTTAGAGAACGTTCAGCAGCGTTTAGAGAACGTTCAGCAGCTTGAGGAGACATGCAGCATTTAGAGAACCTTCAGCAGCGTTTAGAGGACACTCAGCAGCTTGAGGAGACATGCAGCGTTTAGAGGACATTCAGCAGCGTTTAGAGACATGCAGCGTTTAGAGGACATTCAGCAGCTTGAGGAGACATGCAGCATTTAGAGAACATTCAGCAGCTTGAGGAGACATGCAGCATTTAGAGAACATTCAGCAACTTGAGGAGACATGCAGCGTTTAGAGAACATTCAGCAGCTTGAGGAGACATGCAGCATTTAGAGAACATTCAGCAGCTTGAGGAGACATGCAGCATTTAGAGAACATTCAGCAGCTTGAGGAGACCATTCAGCAGCTTGAAGGAGACATGCAGCGTTTAGAGAACATTCAGCAGCTTGAGGAGACATGCAGCATTTAGAGAACATTCAGCAGCTTGAGGAGACATGCAGCGTTTAGAGAACATTCAGCAGCTTGAGGAGACATGCAGCGTTTAGAGGACACTCAGCAGCTTGAGGAGACATGCAGCGTTTAGAGGA